TTATTAAATTAATTATATGGATATAATACTGAAAAAGTCTTCCTTTTAAATATCACTCACAAAATTTTATACGTATGGTTTTGTCTCTAACACTTATTCGAATCCTCGTTCGAATCATTTGAATAGATAAAATAAAAACACAGAACAGGTGCTTTATTTTGCACAAGTCGCAAATAATATAAAAATGTAAGACACTTACCTCACCATTTCTCCGCCGTTGCCCGATGCCTTCTGGGCCTGCGCCTCCTCTCAGATTTCCTTGTTGCACCTCACAAAACACTAACTCGCGAAATTCATCGATCGCGCGAAATTTCGGACACTCCCGTACGCGACGTGAAATACCGCGAAACGCACGAAATATTATTGACAAATGTCGAATGACTCTCTATCATACAAATTGCTCAAACTGACAACTTGTATTTTTGATTTGGAAGAATAGGATAATGGATAAAACACTTTTGAATTGGCGATATAAAACGCAACGCGAGCAACGGAAGCATAATCCGCGGTAAAGAAGTAGTTATTAGTCCGCAACAAAACGATCTTTTACAATCTTTGTCATTCAATCTAATTTTCGAAATATATTATGAGAGCGAAAGTTCCAGCGATAAATACTTGTTATTAATTGTAACAGTTAATCGAGATCATTTACGATCACATTTACATAATGTAACGACGCGCGATAAGCGACTTTCTCTACTTCCAGCCTGTTCGAGTTGTGAAGAACGTCAGAGCGAATTACAGCGCGAACGTAAAACCGCACAAATTTCTTTCTCTCTTCCCGAAAATACGAAATCGACGGATAATTGAAAAGCGCGATGCGTAAACGAGATGTAATCGCGACAAATTACCACGGTTTGCATTTATATCTTACAATTAGATGAGTTGGTCTCATGAAATCTACGTTGATAAAAGCCGCCGCTTGAACGTGCAAATAATTTTACATTACAAGTTGTAACATTTAGTCGACGAACGTTACTTGTTAATAATAAACGTGTACAAATCAATAGCGTTTCATCCCCACAATTATCGCGATCGCATCTTGGAAATCGATAACGCGTAAGTAATACGACGCGCGGAGCGACTCTCGTTCGCTGCCTGCCGGCACGACGTTCGACGAGCGAATGATAGCGCGGCGACCTTCGGGTACACGATGGTACGCAAAAACATCGTACGTCACCGCGCCGAGAGAAAAACAACTACGAACGTTGAGAATTCGTTGTCTTTTTTTGTTCCGTGACTGTTACTACGTTTTGTGTATTATTCTGAGGACTTATTGGTGTTGATTAAATTAACGATTAATTCTGTTTAATCGAGAAAATGTTTCGAAACAAAAATCGTTGTTACTGTAATTCTAATTACTAAAATTAGAGGTTTTACCTCAATAGTTGGTGTATACAAATGTATATTTCTAAGTTACAAATCTTCATTTACTACGAATCTAAAAGAGAGGTTAAGTACACCGCGCTTCGAGAAGACCAATCGATATCGTGGAAAAGAGGCCTCAACTTTTCGATATTAACGACATTCGCGCTGGTTTCATATCCTTTTTAGAAAGGGATATAATTATGTATATTATATTTTATCTGAAGAATTTGTGATATTTAAAAAACATGTAGAGAATGTCCTATGATAGAATCATTTGACGATAAGAGAGAGCGACTTTGAAGTATTATAATATCCATTTACTTGGAATAACATCAGTGACAAATGAAAGGGACGCACAGAATTTGTCTCGTTAGCTTCTGAAGATGTGGTGGATATCTTCCGTTCTGTCTACATGTAAATCGCGTAATTGGATCGCAGAAAATAAAGCGGGGAATCTTCTTTGAAATAAATTGCATAAATCTCTCGAGATTTGTTATTTTGATATTATAGTTGCAAATACAATATACTCTTTCACTTTGGAAAATTCACTTAAAGTATCTTCATTTTTATATTATATATATGTTGTATAAACAATTGAATTTCGTTATTATTGCTTGCAGAGAACAATTATAGTAATTGAATTGATTATCAAAGATTAGTTACTTCAAATTGCTAGTATAATAATAAAATTCCAAATTTCTTTCGACCACAGCTGGCCACATTTATTAATTAACCGGTCGATGCAGAAAATTTATTGCAAAAAATATTTCCTCAGCGACGGTTTGAACCTGAACCTCCCTTACTCTCTAGGCAGGCGTCTGACCAATTCGACCACTGAGGTATGCGATAATATTTGTCGCAATATCAGTATAAAAATGACATCCTCGCGTTTATTTTTCGACTTTCTGCAAATTTTCTGCATTGACTTAACTTACAAGGTTAATTAACAAATGTGGCCAGCTGTGGTCGAATAAAATTTGGAATTGAATTGATTACGTTGTTCACAGCGTCTTGCATGCGTATTGCAGAGAAACGCAGTAATTTCAAAGGTGCGTTTATTATATATAAATACGTCTCGCAGTCAAATACAGTTTCGGTGTAAATATATATTTTGCGTAAATAGCAATTAATTAAGCAAATATTTGCAAGCATCTTAGTTCTTGTGTAGAACTTTCCTTAAGTATATTTTAGAAAATAGCAACAGTAAAGGAAGAATACTTGATATTGTACATATTCGATTCTAAAAATATAACAAACAACGACTCTCTATTGCCCATTTTATTGTTAGGTGACTCTGATAAAGGACGCGTTTTTGAATGATTTTAAAGAAATGATTTAACGAAGGTTAAGATACCGTTAACAAGAGTCTTTTTATTGTTAGCATCTCTGGTTCTATTTTTGTATTTTCTTTCTAGACAAGTGCATACATACAGTACTAACGACAATAGTCCTGCGTAGAAACTCTGATACATCTGCTCCGTTTTATTTTTGTACCTTTGTCTGATTTTAAACGTAACGGTAGCTATCGTGCAGAACGGAATACACATGTGCGCAACTTTAACGAGCGATTCAACGATAACCAAACCACGGTTTTCTACATTTCGTTTTACTCTGCTATGCGGAGTAATGGTGACTAATAACAGTGATTGCATAATCGATAAGCGATACACATTTATATTGTAGTGATTATATATTCAATTTTCTGCACGTGCACACGTATGTACAGCACCGTGTTAAAATTTAAATCTGACTGAAACAACTGTGTATCATTACTGTACGAGTATTATGGTTGACATTCGTAATCTGCATACTTATTACAGTTAAGCCGGTTCAGCTTGTCGACCATTAGGGGATGCCGAAATCCACCGGGTTGATATTGTAGACGGGCAGGCGGCTGAAACGCGATAATTATTACAGCGTGCCAAAACCGATGGCTCAGTCGAAGTTGAGGTATTGTGCGCACAATGACGTTACATGCACCCTGCGTACGTAAACGCAATAACGCATGTCGGTGGCTTACGCCAACTGTATTTATCGTGCGACTGGTCAAACCGACATTATGCCAAATGTATTAGATTACGGCGCCTAATAACGAAAGGCGAAACGTTTTATACATACAGGGTGTCTCACCTTTCGCAGGCAAGTAGAGCGGGTTAAACTAAATCGAAAACTTCTATGTCACTTTATAATTATTAATGGAATTATAATTAATAAAGAAACTCGCAAAGAAGCGTGCGCTCGTGCGATTTAGCGGCAAGAAATAACCCAGCGCTAAGTATTATTTATGATTGCACGAATGTTTCGCTGCGCGCGTAACAATTTTATTGTCACGTAATACTGGACTGATTCCACGATCTTTATTTATTATTTCATTAATTATTGCAAAAATTGCAAAATGTAAGAGTTTACACAAGCGAATACCGTATTCACACGTACTAATGTGCAATACGACTTGGACCTGACCAGGACAAGAACCTCGCTATCACATTCAAGTAATTCCAAATATTATACACGTGCGTTTTAAGATTCATAACCAGACAAAAACAATTATGCCATTATTACAGAATTTATACGCTGAAGAAGACTCAGTATAGTCGAAACGTCGTCCGTCAGTTATTTACAAATTTCACTACTTAATAACTGTTATTTATTATCAAATGTTATATTTAATTTTAACTAAACCTAGGGTTAAGAGAGGAAAATTACCTCGAACTTCGAATTCATGTATTCCACGTTACTTTGTATTCGCGATTTTTGTATATAATGTACGAGAGACGATCTGTGTACTACATAACCGATTTCTCGATCCACTTGTCATAAACACAGAATTATTTTGCGTTTATGTTTTCTCAGCTTACTTTTATGAATCTTCGAAAGCATTTAAAATTTACAAATTTGTTGTGTCACAATTTTGAAGATAAGAGTCGCAAGACGTTTTCGTTTCTCCTCTTCAGACAGTTTTGAAAGGACATAGTATCCTTCAGAAATAAGATTGTTGCGGCAGCTCCTGTCCCACATTGTTACGGATTGGACGAGGTTCTGTCATAATTATGGTACGCCTTCGTCGTCTGAAGCCGTTGTTGAGAAAAATGCAATTTCGTCGGAGCCCCAAGACACTTTGAGGATTTCCAGAGAATTGATATAAAGAATAACACGACGATCTGTAAAATTTTCGAGGATTAATTTCCCCCGTAATTTAGAATCGCGGTATTCGAGTTTGTATTCCACGTGTATGACAAAAACAGGAACAGGAAAATTCTGAATTAATTTAAATACGAAACATGTTAAGGGGATGAAAGATTACTAGAATAGGTATACGCACTATATTTCACGAAATATTGTTTATTGGTGAAAAAAGTTGCAAGTGACAAGATTAATGGCATTGTGATTTATGAATATTTACGATATAGAATGTATGAATGAATTTTTCCTTTATGTTGTAAAAAATTGTAGAACAATTGCTCTTTTAATTAATATTTGGTTGCATTTGATGTATTAAAAGCAAATAAATATTAATTAAAAGAGCCATTTTTCTACAATTTTTTAATCTTTTCAACACTTTTCTATACCAATACAAAATATTTCGTTACGATCACAGTAATTCTCAATACTCTTTTTCTTTCTGTTTGCAGAAACAGCAACGTATCGGGCGAGAGATCGCCATTTGAGGGTTCTTGTTGCAGCGGGCAAGGCGCTAGCACCGACAGCGACGCCGAGGAAAGTATTTCAAAGTACAGGGTTGTCTTACTGGGAGATTCCGGAGTGGGAAAGACCGCTCTGGTCTCGCAATTCATGACGAGCGAGTATATGAACACATACGATGCTAGTCTAGGTAAGTCTGTGCACCCTCGCACGATGAACAATGCCGTGACACCCTTTAACAAAACGTGTGGGAACCAAGATTGTTTTCCATTAAAGAGATTCATGATTCTACATCTTTGGTATAGGATTCTGTAATACGACTTTTGACGTAATACCATGCACAGTGTGTGACAGAAGTACGACTACACATTGGAATAATTTCAAAAGGATTCTTCCTCTCTATTTTTATTTTTCCCTGGCCGTTTAATTTTTGCCTTCTTTCTCTTTTCCTTTGTTCGTTAATTCGTTTTTTTTTAATTTTTTACTATTCATTAAAAAAAATTGGGCAGGGAATCTAGAAGCACTCTACATATATTTTTCGAAGGAAGGTTTATTTAGAAGTTTCACTTTTGCCAATAATAATGTCACTTAGGTAAATCCTGTCCTCTCTTGATATTCACCGATCCGTATTTATTCTCTTTGTATGCAGAAACTCGTTGCGCGATAATATTAGCGATCAAATGAAACTCTTGCCATTTAATTAAATTTCTCTGCATTAATTAATTAACTTTTAATTAAAAGTAACGCGCTCGCACAAAGACACGTTGCGTAACCAACGATTCTCGCTTGCGAGTTTCGTGGGGTGCAGATACACTACGCCTATTTCCCTGAAGTGGAGTTAATAATAAAGCGAAACGGAGAAAAAATTCACTTTATTCGTTTTACAATTTTTACCGGCCGCGCGGCTTTGAAACGTAGGTGCACTTCATGAGGAGGACGATTCTGTATCCCCGCGCAATTGCGGCGGGCGCACGTTGCAATGCTTGCTGCAATCGTTTCGAGCACGAGCCTGGGTTTTACAAGCGCACTGCCCGGGTACATATATTTGTTCTTTTATGTGATCGCGGACGGTCACACACGTGCACGAACGCCACGTGCAAGAACGTACAGCGCGCGATGTACCGAGAGAAAAGTTTTGCGAGGATACATCCCTTTCGTATCCAACCTTTTCTCACACCTCCGTGGTGTACATTATTTAAAAACCCTACGTTAGGAATAGAAGACTCGCTGTTAAATTAACGTACAACTATTTAATTTAGGTATTATATATTTATTTCTTTGTGTTTTTTTTTCAGAATTACTTTGTTAAACGTCAGTGTTCCTTTAATTTAATTTCAGCAATATATAATATATTATATTATATATACAATACATATTTAAAAACATATGGATATAATTTCAAGCACGAACGGGGACACGAAAATAAATTTGTAAACGTTACAGTGTTGTGTTTCAATAAATCTCGTTACTAGTCGAGGTATTATACCTTACTCGACTGTTTATTATCAAAATCTATATGACCTCATTGCCTTCACTAACTGTTCGTACATATTTCAATATTATACTGCTGTAGTTTGTAACGAGACTCATTGAAATTGCCTCTAACTCGGAAACAACGTCAATTAAAACAAATGTTTATGTAAACGTTTTCATTATTTTTATCCATTGAATTCTTTCCCTGAAATTACATCCACGTGTTTTAAAATATTCTGTAACAGATTTCTGTTTTTCTTATGTTTGAAACTTCAATAAAAGAGGAAATCAAATTAAATCTACCCTTTTAAAATCTATTAAAAAATGCTAAATATCGTTGAAATTAAAAAAGATAGATTAATATTCTTTTAATTTATCTGGAAACGTCTTTCCAAGATAAAATCATCTTTATCTTTGAGTCAACACTAACTAAGCAGAAATCGCGTGTTCAGTTTGCATTCACTATTTCGTCTAAAGTAAATTTACACAACCTCTTCTGTCAAATGCAGCGTCTTCTCTCTCATGTTCATTTATCTTCTATTCTATCCTCGAAATACCTCACATATTCTGTCATAAGTGAATTCAATTCACAATACCATTTGGAGGGGAAAAAAGGTAGAAAAAAATGTCAGGCAGTGATGGATATACTTTCTCGAAGTAAAGAGGATGGCATGAAGGGAAACAGAATGTACAAACATATACCAACTGACGAAAAATTGGTCATAATCTGACTTTTATGATGAACATTTCAATGAAAGGATTTTAATATAAAAAATAAATGCCAACGTTACATATCGTGCAAAGTTTCAATTCGGTTTCTAGCAAAGTGAAAATCGATGAATCAGGATACTCTTGTGAAACTGCAGCAGCGAATTTTTTCGTAGCGTTTTTATCGTGGCGTCACACAACACTGGTTTTTAACATTTATTTATTTTGCAACCCGTTCGTAGCGTTCTGTTATTTTTATCATCCCGCGTGCGCTGTAGTTTTAATTTATTTGTAAATTAAAGTCACGTAAATAAAAAGCAAAATCAGCCAAAAATCACTTCTATTTATGGACGGAAATATTAATTTTTTTTCACACAGCTTTTGAAACTTATGCTTGCGAAATCGACATCTGTTATTTAGAATTATTTTATATATAATATTACAGATGCATGTGTCTCTAATGAATTCTAAACTACAAATCATTTCTTATACAAAAAATTTTGATGACGTAATATACATATTTATTTTTAATTAGATATTAGTATACATTTTTTAAATTATTTTAAAAAGGATAAATTTTTTCGTATATATCGCATTTCATTAACGAATGAGTTTATAATTATTTAGGGATGTGCACCTCGAAATACACGGAATATTCGAAATATCAATGCTCTCTGATTAATTATAAGAGTCTATAGTGTTTCGGATTATGCAAATAATTTGTTGATTTAGATCCACGATCTCTCAGAAATAACGAATGCACGTTTGATGTAAACCATAGTTTGATAACGTTACGGTAATGTCCAACTTGTGCACAACAAATTACAGAGTTTGTGCATTGTACAATATATTAGCCACTGAGTTAAACTGAGACTTGACAGTTCTCCTTAGAATTTAGCTTGCTAGTTCAAGCTTATAATTAATTATATGATTCTCTCTGTACATTGGTATGTGATGTACGTTCTCTTGTTCTTTTTTTAATATTTGCGGTTAGATAATTGTTTCATGACGTTTTTACACTGAAAACAAGACTATTACGGTATATTGAAAAATTAATAAAGACTGGATATGGATGGAAATCAATTTTTAATATAATTAGACTTTAATCAAATAAGAAAATTCCAATGTTGTGAAAGGCTCCCAGAAGAAAAAATATATAGGGAGGAGAAGTGCCAATGTGAGCCACAAAATGAACGGAACTCGGTTCTCACAGTATATGTAGAAAGAATTTCTCTTTAATATAAAACGTTTCGACCCTTCTTCGGGTCTTCCTCAGTAAGACTATTAGATACAATTTAACAAGGCAGTCAACAGTTACATCAGCTGTTAGATGAGTCCGAAGCGACGATATTGGAACGACTGTGCTTGTTAAATTGTATCTAATAGTCTTACTGAGGAAGACCCGAAGAAGGGTCGAAACGTTTTATATTAAAGAGAAATTC